CTGATAGCAGTTTAGAACAAACGAGAGTATAACTTATTTTTTAATAAGCATATCAAAATTCTGTTTATCGGCATATTTGTAAATATGATATTATGTTGGAATCTCACATGGTCTCTGCTTTCATTAAACCAAAGCAACATTGTTTGGTTTTGGCGATTAAAATACCCACATGAAATATTAAAAAAATACTCGAGCGATGTAAGGAATGTTAGAGACTGATTAAATCTTTTTTCTCATAACAATTTGCCCAACAAAATGTGACAAGTACGCACTGTTGCATGTTAGACACAGCTCGACGAACTTTATCGAACAGTATATTTAGGTTTTAAGAGAAGGTATAAAACAATTTCATATAAATAAAAAGATTATTTTTCACCGTACCGAAAAATGTGTACGTAAAATATTCTCTAAAACTATTCAATCCATCATCCATGACTATTTCGAAGCTTGCATCAATCGACGTAGGTTGACATGCTCTGTCTGATGATGTCTCTGAGATTATAGTCAATTAAACTAAACCCCCCGACAGATTAGAAGACCGCCTATGATGACTATTCTTTTAATTTTTGCATTTTTTCCCATTGTATAGATGTTGGAATGTTTGTTTTTATGCTGGCCAACAGTAATTTTTTTGTTTCCTTTCTGTCGCTGATATATATCTATATCGGCCATTGATTGAATGAAACAACTATTACCAATGTATGAGTATATGTGTCTATTCTCTAGTAGAAAGACTATATATATGAGCGAATCGTATTTTTGTTGTACAATTGGCAAAAAAAAAAAAAAAGTGTATTGAGCAGAATTGTAAGACGTGCATATTATTCAGCATCGTCTACTTAGTATAAGATGAAATTTTCCCAACTACCACATGTCAGGAAGCCGAGATATCTCTGGATCCATATATATTAAGATAGTTCCAATATTGTCAATATTAACAGGTTCTCGTTTTATTTCTATCACAACGCTTTTTGTCTGCTCATCATGGGTATTTTAATAACTTGGAATGAATAGATCATCAATTGGGAGACAACCAGTATTGGTTATTTGTATTTCATCAATAATATAATATCGTAATTCATGAAGCTATATCCAAGTGTCTATTTAAGTCAGTCGATGTCGAAAAACTCCTAAAAAGCGTTTCTCTACATAAAAACAAAAAAATGTTACTCTACATTTCGTCGTATAATGCAAAGTTTTTTAGGAAGAATTGATTGAATCACGCTGAAATTTTTAGCAAAGGTACAAGTTTTTATGTTCTCTCTTATGTGCAAATTTTCAGCGAGATCGGTTCAATCTATCCGAGGATAAACCTAAAATAATTTTCAAAATGTTACTCTACAAAGTGAGTGAAAAATCGATTTTTGAAAAAGTTTGCTTACTTTTCTCGTAAATGATATCGAGAAAACTGAAACTTCTTTTGACCATTTGGTTACTTGAAAAAGCTGTTTCCTTTGAAGGAGTTCCTGGATTCCTAGCTATGTTCCTGCATCGGCTAGAAAAGATTTTGTGTTACTCTACATAAAAGAGAAAAAGTGTTTGTAAAAGTGTTTTGGTCTTGGACGAGCAAGAAACAAATAACAATTATATCAACGAATCATATATTTGAATAGCTCGTCAAACGCTGAATAAAACAAGAGTATTACTGTTTTTGCTTTTTTCTTTTCTTCTTTGGAAAATCTATTTTTTTGTACGGTGGCTGTTTGAAAAAACCTGTATTTTTAATATTTTGCGTCTCTATCTCGACGAGTTATTGAGCAATCGGACCGATATTTTCTGTGATAGTGTGACCCATATGAGTGAACAAAACAAACAAAAAACTTCGGGAATCAGACAGCAGGAAATTGAGTTATAGGAAAAATACTTCAAAAATATAATTGTACAACAAAAATACGATTCGCTCATATAATATAGGAAAAAAAAGAAGAGAATAACGTCTTATAATAGTCATTCTTCAATCATTTACAATTCATTACGTCACGAAAAAGTAAAACTTCTATCGTTTTTTCCAATAAAACTACATATACAGCATATTATGGATGGTGATCCCATTATGAGTTCTCATCTGCTACCATTATCTTTCGATGATGACAACATCGATCAAAAGTCTGATTCAGACAGCATGTCAGTTGATTCTGATATTGAAGTTAATGATACAAATTATATCAATAATGATTTTATTCGACTTGATCTCGAACATGACAATAATTCTAGTGAAGATGAAATTGAAAGTTCAACTGCTACGGCAAATAATATTATAATACCAATCACCGACGTTCAATCATTTTCTACCAATGGAAATAACATCAATCCTTCTATTCAAGTTTCATCTTCTTCAAATAAAGATGCTACAACCATTGCAGTGCATCAAAAACGACGACAATAGAGTGTAAAAGAGAAATTAAAAATTATTTCTGAATTGAATAAAGACGTGTCACTTCATGCACTTGAATTACGATACAAATGTACACAAAAAGTGATTCGTGTTTGGAAAAATAACGAAAATAAATTAATTAAATTGGTAAAAGATCAAGGTGGAAAAGGGAAAAACGAAAACGTTTGGATGGAGCTGATGCTAAGTTAGGTTATGCTGCTTTTGATGATGCCTGATCAGATGGTATAGATCGAAACGTGGCTTGAATCAAGCTGATGTAAACGTAAGTAAAGAAAAGTGACATTCAAAGGAATGGTCAGAGAAGGTTACAGAATTTTTAGTGAACTCGAAACCAATCAACCATCAAATAAATGATTTACAAGATTTTTTTTAAACGACATCGTTTATCATTACAAAAACCTGTTCGAAAGCAAAAGATTTCTCTTTCAGAGGCTCATATTTCTATTAACAAATTTCATTCTTATCTACGACAATGTAGTCAATGGGACCAAAAAAGAGGTTCTATGGGCTGCTTTGTGGAATCTGATATCTGTAATATGGATGAATCCCCATTAAGTCTCTGGGGAGATCAATCGAGACGTTCTATAAATGACATCAACACAAGAAATGAAATTGAAGGATGTCTTGAAAATAAGCGTTTTGCTACTATTATTTTATGTGTATTTCCAGAAGGAAATCATCGAGTAGAATCTGTGCTATTGTTTCGAGGTACAGGAAAAGTTTCTTCTTCAGAAGAAAAACATTATTCACCGAATGTAAAAGTTTTTTTTTACTCCAAAAGCATTCATTAATACACTAACTTTAGAAAAATACATGACTTGGTGGTTGAAAAAAGTAAAAGATGGTAATCGTAAATTATTTATTACAGACAGTTGTACTAGCCATTTGAATGAAAATTTGAAAAAAAGAATGCGAGACGAAGGAATAAATCTGGCAATTATTCCAATTGGATGTACCCAATATATTCAATTATCGGATGTACATGTATTTTCAACATTTAAAAATCATTACTACTACTGCGATGAAGAATATTTGGAATTGAATGGTACTCGTTCAAAATTAAAATTATCTGCTTCCAAAAAGCGTATTTTATGTATACGATTGGCAGCTTGAGCTTAGGCTCGTACATTGAAATCGGTCAACTTTCCAGAAGCTTTTCGATCACTTGACTATACTTGGGTCAACAATTCTGTGATTAAACCAAATTATATACCATGGTATACATTTGATCCAAGTTGTATCGAGTCAAATAAAAATGACGTAAATGAACAGAACTGTGATTCAGTTTCATCTGAACATAATAGTTCTATTTTAACAAGAAATCAACACAAGCAATTGACTTTGAAATACTTCTGGAAAAAATAAAGATCTTATTTTGTTTATTTTGTTAAGTTGTATCAAATGAAAAGATTTTTGGTTACTGATTTATGTTTTTTTCTATGAATAGAATAGCCATATGAGTTTTTATATACTGCGCTTCTTGTATATTTATGACACTGTAAAGAAAATAATTCTTGTATCGAACTAGCGTTTTGTTTATATGATGTATATATTGTATTTTTGATTGTATTAACTTGAAACAAAATAAATTAATAAAATTAGTAACGATACCTTAATTAGGTAAAGATTGGAAATGCAAACGAGCGCGAAGAATACTGAATTACAAGGATTTTATGAGTACATAATAGAAGACCTCGGCTCTTCTAATCTGTCGGGGGCTTTAGTAAAACGTTAAGATTATCTTAAAGCGATAAAAAGAGGGTTCCATGGGTATTTCATTGAATGGCTCGGCCTAAGATTAGTGCTACATGAGAGTCTATTCCATTTGACTCTGTCGAATGATAGAAATTTCAAAGGTGACAAGGATCGCAAACCGACTTTTTACATGGAATATTTTAGTTTTTCATTTTTCGCTATGCTCAGACATAATAGTTTTTAACAAAAATTGTTTTCGTCTTGCTCTAAAATCTAAATAGAATGAAGTACTTGATAGAGCGGGTCGAGCTGTATCTAGTAGACTCAATTATGCGAATCGTTCTGCAAAAACAGTTAAGTCAATCACTGAGTTCCCTTGATTTGCTACAGTAACTTTTTAATATTTGATGCAGTTATTTTCATCCTGAAGAACTAATGAATGAGGTTTCTGTTTTTACCAAAGCAGAGACCATGTGAGATTCCAACATAATATCATATTTACAAATATGCCGATAAACAGAATTTTGATATGCTTATTAAAAAATAAGTTATACTCTCGTTTGTTCTAAACTGCTATCAG